CCATTGCAAGTATTTTAACCGCATTAGGATTTATTATATCGACTTTGACTTTCGCGTTAACCGGCGGTACAGGCGGTACAGGAGGTGGCACACCCACTAGTGATAAAAATGGTGTAAAACAGTGGATAAAAAAGCATTTAAAGGCATTAGGAGAAGCAGTGGGAAAGCTCGCTGGGAAAGCCGCATCTGCACTTCCCGGTATAATAGGGAGTATTGTTTCCTGGTTCTTGAATTTATTAGCTAAGACCACCACTTGGCTTAGTCAAAACTTGTGGGCAAAAGAAAGCATTAAAACATGATAATATTCGGATACTCGCCGAAGCAAAGTTGAACAGCATTGAGGACCATATTTCAACAGCAATGGCTGATTGTAAGATATCCGATGAGGAGTTTTGTTTAGTTTTGTCAGAACTCGCCAAATACAACGTAATGAAGCAGGAGATTTGATCAAATTCTCGTAAGACCAGTGGTATTAGCGAAGATGAGAAAAAAAAGTTCATAGAACAGGGACAACAAGCGCGTCAATTATTCAGTGCCAAAACCAAAGAACTGGTTGGAGATTAAAAATAGATTGCTTACTATCATTAGATCACATTTAAACGAATGCTTACATAAGTATATAATAATGGAGAATTACAAACCAACAAAGGAAGAACTCGAAAAAGCTATCGAAGCATTTATGCTCAGGGACAAAATGATCAAATGGAGAGAATTACCACAGGGTATATATTATATCAGTGATGTCAAACCAACCAAATACGGTCATCAATTGTTTTTTCAAATTACCAAGAAGAGTATATAGTCTGGTCTCCTAGTAAAATGAACGAAGAACTTAGTAAAAATGTTCAATATCACTTTGTTCAAAATAATGGTATACGTATGAATAAAAATAATAGAGAATATTTTCATTACAATTTAGTTTTATGTTATGACGATCGTTGAATCACATCATCATTTTGACATAAAAAATTCACTCTGTAGTAGCAGTATAGGTATATAAATCTGTCTCCAGTGGAAGTGAGCCAGAACCATCATTACCTATACTACTGGGTGTAATTTAATATATTGTTCGTTTAAAGCCAGAATTATTTGACAGTTACCACCGTGTTGTGATGTGTGCATGTTATTGAGTGAGATTGTATTGTGACAAGCTGGCTGTTTCGTACATGAGGACATGTAAGTTTGTTGTTTTGTATGATTTCAGCTTGAATCTGCTTCATATAGTATACCTAGAACATTGACTGTTTGGATGCATCACTGCATAAAGCAGTGTATGAGAAAATGCTGAATCTGATGTTTATTGACTTGGAAACCTACAGTAGTCATTGCCAATTATCTAGCTGGCTTCCATTGCCCATTGCTATTCCTTTACCTATCAGTGTTAATTACCCCCGGCCTCCCGTTTGCCCATTGTCCAATTACATATCAATTATTTTATCCTTGCTTCCAGTTGTCCACTACTATCTGCGCTAATATTACTGTAAAGTGTTGGCTTGCTAATCACCTATCAGCGCCAATTCTCTGTTGGCTTCCCTTGTTAAGTTTCCATCTTTTGTAATCTTATTACCTTTGTTGTTCTTGCGTGTATAAATTATATGCTCTCTGCCTCATACTATTCATTCGCACAGGATTTGGCATCCATATCAACAAACCCAAAAAAGAAACAAAATCATATAGGCTCCCAAATAATCAATCAATTTTCACAGCCGAATTAATGGGGATAGTAACAGCCCTGCACAGCGATCAAATAAATAGACACCAAAAAACCCTAATCCTTTCAGACTCATTAAGTGGGCTCCAGGCCATAAAAAAAAAAACACAAACAAACCGCCCAAAACTAATACAACAGATAATTAAAAGCGCCAACAATCTACGTAAACTAGGTAAAGACATAAAAATAGTTTGGATCCCTGCCCACATTGGAGTGTTTGGCAATGAACACACAGACAAAGCAGCCAAATCAGCACTAAAATTAGAAGTAAGCATCAACCTACCAATATAAAAAAAACGAAACTAAAAGTATCACAAAGGAAAAAATCCTCCAAAAGGGGCAAAATAACTATCCGAAATCTGATTGCAAACTTAAACACCTGCTACAAAAGCCACTAAAAAAAAAAAAATCCATCATAAAACCAAAAGAATTGACAGAGTAATAACTAAACTACAAACAGGCCACACTTAGTTAAACTCCCACCTGCACCAAATTAAAAAACACCAAACCGGTAAATGCCCCCACTGCAACTTAAAAGAAACACCCAAACACGTAATACTATATTGCACACATTACCAGCAACACAGAACAACACTCCAATCCAAACTAAATTGCAACAATCAAATTACACTAGCAACTGTACTGAACCCCCTAAATGACTTAAAAACCTTTAAAGCACTAGGCATATATCTAATCAAAACAGGCCTACTTGGCCGCATTTAAAAAAAAAAGTACAACAAACAAGCTGCCAATAAACCCTAAAATTCTAAACCTATAAAAACACACAAACTCCTTTTAGTCTCCCCCACCCCCCACACCTTTTATGGCATATTTCAAAGTTCCAAAATTGTTCTCCAAATTAAGTGAGCAACCCTAAAGAGCCCCACCTAGGTTGCCTCACCTTTTCGGACATACCCTTTTTGACCAAACACCAAATGGCCTGGCGGGCCTGTGCGCGAAATACACATATGTCGGAAAGCGCACATTAAATTCCTAATTTAAGTAAGTTATTCATTCACGTGAAGGAGTAAGCACATACAGGTACTCCGAAACGTTGTGTTCCTCACAATAAAGATGTTGACATCTCTTCCCTTTGTGGGATCTTCTTCTAAAATGGGAGCCAAATATATTTTGAAGGACTTTGCTGACTTTGCCCATGTCGGGCCTTCATTTTAGGTAGGGGGCATGGGTGGCCAAGTCATCTAAGGCACCGCGATTCGCTGTGCAGAGTTGCGTTCCTTGGGCACGCCAGAAACCTATGATTGTGGGTTCGAATCCTGGTTTGCCACGATTATGTTTCTAGGTTTGTCACCAACATACCCATGCTCGTGGGTTTCACTGAAGTGGTAAACGTCTGAGTCCTGCATCACTTCGGGCTTTCCTCCCCCATTAAGCCGAGACGCCGTGATATAACGTATTCGACGTAATAAGCGCCCACAGCGATATTTGCTGATATATTGGCTAGTGAACAAGCCCAATTTGCATCCCTTCCGATTGATCAATGTACAAAGGACTTATTTATTCGCGTATAATACGCACTCGTGTGTTATATACACCCTTAATAATGGGCAAATAAATTCTGGAAAAATATATCTGTCCCATATAAACACTTCAGGCTGTTAGCATAAACCACGAAATTTATCTTTCATCTATGTTTTTTTTCACCAAAATAATATTCTAATAAGAGCCCCATATTTCTAATTTTGAGAGCGCCGCGGGCGCTTATTACGTCGAATACGGTAACTGGAATATTGTTAAAAGCGGCGTTAAACCCAACTCACTCACTCATTTTATGTAACATCTCAAAAATTGTGTTTTCCACAATGGGAGTTCATTCAATTCTATTTGGTAAGAAAATATATTGGAGAGGTCAATTATGACTTTGGAAACTTCAAGAAGTACTGGTCAAATTGTCATTTAGTTTCTTAATGCACTGCTTTTGCATGTGTACTGTCAGCATGTGTAAAAAGAAAATGTAACAGAACTCTAAAAATACCATTGTGATAGTTATTAATTTTGATTCAGTTACATCTTTGTAATTTTGTGTAACCTGTAAGCAATTGGTACATGTGAAGACACATTCTCAAAACAAATATTTTTCAGACAATTGCTTAATAACAGATTAATGTCATTGGCTGAGCAAATTATCATGGTTTCATGGATGTGTATGTAAAGTACGTATGTGTGTGTGTATGTGTTCGTGTGTGTGCGCTCGTGCTGTGTTGACTTTAAGAAATAGAACATGTTTAAATAATACGCTTAATGATTCATATTTGCTCTCATTATAATACTATAAATGGTTACATTGCAATGGTAAACTATAACATTTTAAAGTTCATTTAAACATACTACCATTGGCGTTTATCATGATCGGAGCACTAACAAACATTACCTCAACATTGCAATTTTTCCTGGAATGTACGCATTAATATATATATATTATGTCAGAGGGTAAGTGATGTGTCAATCGGACAGTGACAGTAGCCAATATAGTTCCAAGAGAAACCTGTTTCTTATACACTGGCGTAACTACATATATGCAAAACAACAATTGCCTTGACAAATTGTCTTTACTTGCCTTACGAGGCAATCCATCGGTCTGTCCGATAGAGTAACTGCCCTTTATCAAAGGGAAGATACTCTTACCCTAGTCTATGAAACGTCACGGCCACAGTCAGACGTAGACAGTCGGCCTGTCCTGTCATAACGTTATGAAGTGCAGTCAGATGTACACACAGCAACAAAATGAAACAAGGTAATAATTCGAACATATTTCGGCAAAATCCGACTGCTTTAATTTGTGGAAAAGGTTCCAAGCTGTAGAGATCTACAAGAACAGATATGTTAAGTGATCCCACTTGGCTTGTGCCCTCGCTAAATTGTTTCGCAATTTATATCTCTAACGTTGCCAAAACTTGTAAAATGACTTAGTTACGTCACAGTTAGACACTGATTTTCAGTATATTAGACTGTTCTTTTCATAATGATAGCAAGTATCCCAGTAGTTTCTCCACATTCCCGATGGTTAATTCTGACTCGATCGCCAAATGACAAGGGCTAAACAGTGAAAGTAGTCCCTACTCGACCTTTGATATTTGCATCTCTATCCACATATGACCCCAACGGATATCGTTTTTATCCGTTGGCTTTATCCTGCCGAGAAACCCACCCATTATATGATAAATACGGGTCCGGCGCTTCAGTAATATTACTATCCTGCTTCAGGGGGCTGTGGTATCGTATGGGGAAGATCTCATTACTCAAATTTGTAAGAAAACAATTAAGAACGTTAACTTGAATATGTTTATTTGCCTTCCGATCACCCTTCAATAGGAAACATACAAAAAAGTAGATTATGGTATTCTCACTGGAAAATGCATAAATTGTTACTCAACCTGGACTCACTAAGAAAAGATACAACTATCACAGTAATGTGCCCAACATAACGATGCACTTCATAATGGCAACAAATCTTGTTATTTCAGATCAACCTATTACAAGAGCAGAGTTAATCACACCCGAATTAATCAGGCAAGAATTCAGACATTTGTCATAAAAATCTCCTAATAACATCATGAATGACTATGACAGTTGTACTTTGCCCCATACTTCTTTCACGTTTTGTAAACAAAATATATTTTCTTCTGTCTCTCATGTTTTATGATTGCTTGATGTTATAGATCTTAGAATTTTATGGGCAATTGCACTATCATATTTTAGTTATTAATGACTAAATAATGACTAAGATATCGAATCTCAAGTTAGAATCCTATAATTTAATTAATCACAATTGATAGGCTTCTAAAATATGCTAAAATATAGGAAAAGTTAATACTTCATCAATGGTATCACATGCTTATACTCTAATTGTCATAAGAAGTCATGAGTGGTCTAACCAACTTAACACTATGCAGTGTTGAAGGCAATTGCTTTTATCATACTAATCAGTGAATGGCTTTAAACTACACTGCCATCAAATATGAAGTTCTAACATACAAGAATGAAGGGTCACTTTTATCCCACCATAATTTCTTTTGTTGCAGAGAATGTCGTACAGATCATATTACAGATGTGGGGCTTCTTTGGGTGCACACAGCATTGTCATAGTAGGTGAGACTGAGCCAGTAACTTTCTTCTGCTACAATACCATTCATTCTGAAATAAAACACAGGGAACCATCAGAAATGTCATCAATAAAGAAAATTTATATCCTATTTTCTGTGTTTATCACTGTTCTAAACACATATATCAATAACAATGCCTGGTCCCTTAAAAAATGTGACACAGTGAATGTCATGACATTGTTGATATTTCACAGTTTTCACTCAATTATTTTACGCAATTCTTAGAGAATATCTGCACCAGCATCTAATTTGAAGAGCCAAAGAAATGTTACCAAACAACATTATTTGTTCCTGAAAACAGAACAAGGCAAATATCAAACATGCTACTCTCATTGTCAAAATACATGAATTCACAACATCATTACATTATGATGTGAATGAGAACAAAACTGAAGGTATTGTATCCATAGTTTGGAAGACAGTCATATGTTCACTAATTGCACATGTAACTCACTTTAATCCTTCTGAATGCCACAATTGTCAATCAATATTGTGCAAGCCCACCACTGGCATAAATGAATGCACTAACTTGACGATGGGGTGAAGATGTGAGGCGTCTGATCATGAGAAATGGGATTCGACGTCATTATTTTTGGATGGATTGTGCTAACTGATCCTTGTTATAAGGGCTAACTGGTCGTGCTACAATTTGATGACCCATATGATCCCATAATCGTTCTAGAAGTGATAAGACCTGTGGTGAGTAAGACAGGAGATTATTGGCTAGCATGAAATCTCTTCCAAGACATGATGTATGACAGGTGTATGTTGCATCAAAAGCGGTAGTACGAAAGGTAGGAGAACTTAGTCAATGCAACGCTTACCAGATATATTAACTTCCAAAATCACAATATCTGTCTTGACTTGGCCACAGATGCTGCCCCAAACTAAAAATACCGCCAGTGTCTTGAATGCAACGTTGTGACTTTTGTTCTCCTTGTCGGCGGTAGACACTAGCTTGAATCATCTCTTGTCTGTGAACATGACTCTTAGCCAGTTCTGCAATGTCCAAGTCCAAGGCATGTGTCCTGACCACCCTGTTGGCCTATAACAGGCTATGAGCCTGGTGACTGTCATGCAGCTACAGCCAAAACTCCTTGCAACTTGGTTATTCGTTGATCCTTGACCTATCACACCAACAGCTTGTTCTCTCTGTTGTAGTGTTACTATTGGCATGTTATTTGTCATGAATGCCGACCTGTGATTTACAGTTTGTACCAACTGTACACTTTTAGTTCTGTCACAATCAAATAAAGAGAAAAACATCTTTTACTCCTTCAAAACTATTATCAAAGTTATATGGAAGTAAATGGTCGCAAGCTTGCAGTGAAAGCCTTCTCTGACTGCCCATTGCATTATCTTGATATCTTAAAGTTTTTCTTGCAGGGTCCTGAGTACTTGCTCTCCATTGACCTGGTCCTCCACATGGAGTTGTCACACACACTCACGATGGGTGCTAACCCTTGCAGATAGAGCACAAATGCATCATTTTACAGCCCTGCAGATTTCAAGCTGCCACGTTGTTGTAAGGTCTACAAATGTCCCGACCATATGGCGTGAAAGTACCTTTCTGTCTGTTACTCATTTACTGCTTTCTGACAAAAGTACCTGTCGACTACTTTAACTGCCATCTTTGGCAGTGCCGGGTGAACTTGCAGTACCAATTAGCAACCTCGTTCTACGCAAATGATATTTGGGCTTTCAATCTCTGCTTTCTTAGCTCTAGATGCAAAAGTCCAGTTCTAAATTTGTGCACTATGCCATGTCCGCCTCGTTTTTCCTCATTCTGCTGCTTAACCAAGCTGGCATGTTTTTTGCTCTCGCTGGTGTCTACACTCTCACCTCGCTGTCACAGCTAGCACTGGCTTGACCTGTACCCATGAATCTCTTCTCGTAACTGGCGGTTTTAGTGCCTGTAGCATCATTTTGCTGGTGCACACTGAAGTTACCTCAAATTACACACTATAAAAGTGAACTGATAAATTGTAAGTACATATTCCTTTTAGTATCTAGATGAATAGTTTGTAATTGACATTGGCCATATTTACTGTATCCAACAGTGATTTGTTTCACCATGGTCAAACAGATCTCACTGTGATGTCAATTTCCATGCCTCAACATACCTTAATACTTTTCAAGATTTTGGATAATAAACATTGTCTTATTCTATAACCCCTTGTCTGGCTGTCAGATTTCAGATTTGGTCACATCTTAATAAATTTGCTGTGAAAATTTTACTGCAAAATGTTACTTTCACTCATTGTGTCTCATTTTTATTAGCATTTTATTAAATATCTTGCTTATCATTGTATTGTGGATATGATGAGCATGACAATCTAGTAATCATTGTAATTAAATGTGTTACGGTTTCACATGGAAATACATGTACATGCCTTACCTGTATGTGTTGTCCATGTCCATGCTACATATACTGTGTTACATTAATTCATAAACACAAGTCTAATAAATAATGGCAATTGTATGAATTCACATAAATATTAATGATTATTGTGTTCTAATATGCCAACAGATATCACTTTTCAATTTGAGACAAAAAAAAAAACAATACGAAAACAATGTCGCATATATCACAGTTTAAGTTGCTTTCTATTTGTCTTTTAAAGGTGATTTTTTTATAAGCTCTTGACAATAAGTAAACAATGAAAGGTATTTTGTTTAAATCAAAACAATGCTGTATTTGGGGCCTTTTTTACAAGTTGTCGTTTTCAGGTGGAAAGAAATCATTACTTGAATTGTTTTCTATAGTCAGTTTGCTGCAATTTTGTACCGATGAAATGCAAAATAGTTTTCAATCCAAAAGCAACAATTTGTCTTAAATGAAAGTTGTTTATTTGTCCATATCAACTCATCACTATAATTTTAGATATTGTCATGAAGTAAAGGAAATGTTGTTTAACAAACTCTCATGTAATTGTTGGTGTTTTAATACATGTTGTTACAAGAGGGTCTGCTCTGTAAACTGAACATCCGCAAGTGAAATTTGCGAGTGTTAAGCCAACCCACTACTGTCTTTTCTGTATTAAAATCATGTCAAATCAAAAGTCTAAATCAGCAGCGTATCTTTCTGTAGTAGTTATTTAACGGAATATACAATGAGAATCTGTAAAATATTATCAAATCAATGTTAGTGGTGTTCTTGGTATTGTTATTCAGCTAATTTCAAATGCAAATAATAAAATAAACAGAACGAGCTCAATGTATCATTATAATGAAGGTTCATTAAAGTTTAATATCGTAAAAGAGATGGTTTAGATCATGCAACTATTATGGTTCTGTACTGAGGAACAAAACCTTCCAAATGGCATGCTGGTTTTCTTGGGGGAAATAATCAGCAAAGAACCGGAGTCACAGGAGACTAATTACAATTTTATTTACAAGAACAATTAAAAATGAAAAATTTACAATATCTTAGAAAATAGCTGGGGTGCCACAGAGAGTCGGTACAACCCCCTGGGTTGTGAGAGAGAGATCTGCTTGGTTAGAGCAACAAACCCCTTCTGCTTAACATTTTGCTTCTGTGTGTATTTAACAAAAATTAGAACAATAAAAAGGAACATGATTGGTTGATACACGATGGGCTGTGCCTTATGGTTAATGAATGGCTAGACAGAGGGGAATACTTAATCCTGTTAATCCTGTTGGACTGGCACTAATTTTGTTGACATATTTACTGGGTGCTTTGAAAGAGATTATGGTGTCACTATAGACGAGCTTGTATTGGGGCTAATCCTTAATGCACTGTAGACAAGCTTGTATGGGGGCTAACACTTAATGAGTCTAAATTGAAGTAATTGCTGAATGTTATTCTAATATAGGTGATGACAGATTTACTTAAATAAAATAGTTCAAGGTAATCTATAAGACTATGTAGACATATCTTTTGTCTGGAAGATGGGATCTTGATACCTTAGGCTAGCATTTATCTAAAAGCTTCAAATCTTTTAAACTATGTAGACATAACTCTTGTCTTATTGAATAGTATGTCTAGGAGATGCGCTCCCGTTACCTAAGGCTAGCATCTATCTAAAAAGCTATAACTGAAACTACTGATATTTTATATGTGCATTTTACCCCATGATTAGTATTACTTGCTAAACTATAATTATATGAAATGATGTATAAATATTACACCATGATAACTCATAAAAGCACTTGATGTGGATCTAATTATTATAGGAAAACTTAGTATAAATGTTATATCATGATAACTACGTCAACTATTTGGGTATAAGATGAAATGCCACTGAATGGAACATCAACTCTGTGGGCTGACCTTCATTTGGATGGGAAGGTGTTTTCCAGTACATTCAGTACACTGATAATGTGTCAGACAATGCTGACGTGAGTCTACCCATTTGTGGAGATGCTGTTCCAGTACTAGAAGTGTGAAAGAGATTTTGTCCCCCAATGAGATGGTGACCTTTCCCCTAATCAGCCAAAGAGTCTGTAAACCCTTGATGATCCAGGCAGAATTGACATAGGAAGGTTGGAGTTGAGATTTCACCTAAAGATGGACTGGGTAACGGAAAGGGGTGAATTCAGGTGAAGAATGCAACGAGTTCATCCAATGTTAGAATGATCAGAGCTGTGGTCTCCTGCGGAGTCGGATCTAGCAGATTGGTTGGAGAGACAGTGCCTGATTCAGAATCATCCGCCAACAATTTATAACTGTCTGAGATTGTGTCTAATACAACCTTGATGTTCTGAATAGATTGGATGTGATTCTTTAGGGTGAACTTGGAAGCTGAGAAATGCATGCGGCTCCCACATTAGTTCCCTCTGCTGTCAGAGAAGGTCGGGATCTGGATCTGCTGATTTGAAGTCATCCAGATATCCATGAATGCAAATTGTGAGTAGTGCAGATATCAAACAATTATACTTATTGTTTATAATTGTAAGAATACTACCTCTTTTACATCATTGCCTTAAATTCCTGTTTAGGCTGAGAATCAGGCTATGCAATTTCTTAAATTTTCAACAGACATCCTCTTCAATGCCAACATGTCTAATAGTTGTGAGGAAAACCCTATCCTTCGCAGGACATGCTACTGTGCATGTGCAAGGCAGGAAACCATAACTTCTTTCAAGCCATAACCCTCATCAACTAAATGCAGATTATTTGGGGAGGAGGGAGGGCCTCATTTCTGTAATAACGGTAGTATTCTTGGAATTATACACAATCATAACTATTGTTTGATAATTCTGTTGAATGCCCTACCTCTATTATAGCATAACCAATATAAACCAGATGGACTGGTGGGGTCTGGCATCTAGAATCCTTAAACAGTTGGCTTTTGTGAAGTAGGAATACATAAATACATGCATACCTATTGGGCGGAGAGGAAATAATGTGCCTAATATTTAGTTCTAGATCTTCCAGATTAGGCATTTGTGACGTCCCCTTACTTAATGTGGTATCTAAGACCTATTATGTCATGATTTCTGGCCATGGTGCCACTTCTGGTTCCTGATGTCATCTATGACTTCACTTCCGTTTGTTTTACCACTTCTAGACTATTATCCTACATGTTCCTTATGACGTCACTTCCATTTTTGCCCTCAGTGATAGTGAAGGTATATTTGATGTTATTCCAGTTCTGAGGTGTGATATGACATCACTTACGGAAGTAGTACTTTGATATGTCCCATACTATCATGTAGATACCATATATCACCTTATATACTTTCGATCTATGACGTCAATGTTAGCTGGTCATTTTCTCACTTTACTCAAGCAGACTAAGTTTCAAATGGCCAACTTTCCTGGAGTTCATGAGGTATTCTGAATTCTTCACCCCCTCACCTGTAAGAAGAAGGGGGGCAGGGATACATGGAGACATGGGCTGTCTTATCGCGGGACAGCTCGCCACTACTTGTTTGATGGATACTGTGTTCCAAGACACAAGACTTGTTGCCAGGTCTTATTTCATGAGCTTGGCGTTTGCTGTCTGTAATGGATGACTTCAGCCATCCTGCCACAGTAGCCTTGGTGATGCCTTTCTCTGATGAGGGCTTGCATAAGCTTGTGTTTCTCTGCTTTCTGTGGTTTTGAATAGCTGTGATGTATTTATCTCAGAATTCTGACAGGATAAAGTAGCATGTCTGGATGATCTGCACTTTTACTTAAGGGAGGTATCTTGTGGTCGAATGGGTCAATTGTCGATGACTGATCTTTTTTCAATAAATTCTGATAGCGACCTGGAAGATATTGGGCACCAGTCTTGTGCGTGTGTTAATCAGGAAATATCAGTAAGTGTAAATCAACATCCTGGATGTACCGTCCATAGCTGGGAGGAATGCTGTTTTCCTGGAAGTTATTAGTAATGTAGCATTATTAAGGATGGTTTCATCAATGCTGACAGTACGATTGTTAAATTCCGTTTTTGGAAAGTGCATGGTATTTCAAGTGCAAAGGCCAGTACTGGGTGAGTACCCATATAGAGGCCATCGTGTTGTAAGACATAGGCAAGAGTATATATATAACCTTCAAAAGTGCCATGTCTGAATTTCTTGTTGATTCCTGAGGTACAGCAAGAATTCAGCAATTATAGGTATTGTTATGTCCACGTCTCATAAGCCTCTTCCCCTTTGCCACTCGATGGACTTGTCCCATGTGTCTCCAAGACCTTGCCACTCTGTGAAGTTTATTAAGAGTAGCCGATTACTTGCATCTATGTCAAGATAATTTCCATGCATAAAGATGTAGGCTGTTGAGGCTGCCCTATAGTATGTCGGACTTCAGCTGGCACAGTAGATTGCAACACTCCAGTGGGTTCTTCCAGTAGGAAGGGTAGTAATCTTGAAAACCATGTCCTGTTGCACCAAGTCCTGTTGTGTCATGCCGGAGTTATGAGTATGATCATGCAACCCATGTGTTCTATTTTGCTCAGTACCCTGTCCAGGAGAGCCCAAAGGGGAATGTGCAGGTGAAAATTCCCTCTCAGTGCATGGATAGGGCATCTAATCTGCATGTATGTTCAGCTTCCCCAGTATGTGATGTGCTTCTATCCTGCAGCTCACAGAGTCTGCCAAGTCATATAAATGTGTAACATTCTCAACCAAAGGCTGTGACCTCATTTTCCTTGTGAATGCCCCTTCACTCAGTTGAGGTGATGTAGAGGTGGTCTACATGAGAGGTATGCCTGGCATGACGTTTTGACGGAGTAGCCATCAATTTAGTTCTGACAGATGTAGGGGTGACTATTGAGCCAAAATGACTATTGTGATATCAATAACTATTGCAAACAACTATTGATGTTGAGAGATGTTATTGCAATACTATTGCAAAAACTATTGTCAACCATTACTTCATCCTTTTAAGATAAAATATTTTGATAAACAATAAAACATTTGAAACCGGTCAACAAATCTGACGCAATTTAATCCTATTGTTATAATAGATCTATCTGGTTATAAAAAACTTGTTCATTGTTTATCTGGATTAATGTTTGCAATATATTTTATTAATTATATTCAAAATTTCATTCAATAATTATAATAATGTTTATAATAATTTTGGTAGATCGCACAACTCACTGTTAATTGCAACAACCACTGTCAGATTACCGCTATTGATGCCTTGTAACGACCTTTAGTTGCAAGAGAATGGATACACTTATCATAAATGCTGTACCTTTGATACCTTCATATTTGAGGCAGTTTGACTATTAAATGTCAACATAACGTTTTCGCAATAGAAATACTTGTAGCATGGGAAGCCCCTATAGTGACTTATCAAATTGTTCCATACTTTAAAAAAAATATCCTGCATATCACCTGTACCAAAATGTTATGCTTATGGTTCTTATGATATTAAGTATATATAGTGGCAGCTGCAACTAAAATAACACGATTGGAATATATTATTCCTGATAAAATAATAATTTCAGACACAATTTCTTCCGAACATTGCATTAAAATTCTTTTGAAGTTGTATCATTGGGTACCTTTTAACTGAGTCACTGGTAGATTGAGAGGAAACGTGTGCACAGCTGATTTGCTATTTCCGGCTTAGTTTACGAGAAAATACACACGGTAATCTTAATCTCTGCATATAAAACAATGACTTTGAGAGCAGGGAATACATTTGAAATGGTAAATCATCATGTCTAGTGATGTTTTATATCAAATTTCATACTTTTATTGACCAAGTTTGTTATACCTGTTTATTCACCTGCATTTGTTGAAAGGATACGATGTGGCTTTTTTGAAAGCGCATATTAATACTTGATATGTATGCAACAGCTGCCATAGTTTGTACTTTGTAACACGTAAATCATGGTCAGTTTCAAGGTGTTTCTTCAAAATTCTTAGGGACAGGTACTTATTTTCTGAGTGCAGTTTAACAATTGCACGTCTGACTTGATCCCTCTGAAAACTGTCTAATTTATCAACCCTGCGTGGTTTTGACATGTTCCCTACCTCCTTGGCCTGACTATTTGTATCTCGTCGATTAACAACATTTTTAAGTTTCTGAGGGGACATACCAAGAGCTTTTGAAGCTCGTTTCAAGAATTTATTAATTGCATAAAAAGGCTTTGCTCTTTCTGCTTTACTTCTAGAGAAATCATACACATTCAACATCAACTGTTTAACATCTGCTGAGTAGCGCATCTTGTCATTGAATGAACACGGTCACTGTGTAGCACGTGCAGACCGTGCTTGCGCTGTTCCTTCCACGGTTTGTCCCCCTACGTGTCATGTACACATTTCTATACAAAATTACATGATAGTTTCTTAAAGAACTTCATCCGTCATGGGTCTTAAATTAAACAAAATTCAGATTTTGTTGGGTACAGGGTATTCATGGACAAGTACCGTATTGATGTTTCATACAATTTTCTGGATTTCGAGTTATTTTGCAATTTATTGTTCTCATTTGGAGTCAAACGGACTGTAAAGTCAAACATTTCCATAGAGAGATCATTGCAATAACTGCATCCTGAATTAGGCGTTCAAGTGCTCTACATGGCTGGCATCTAGGCATCTCCAGTGACTTGATGTTTACCACACACAAAGTCGGCTTTGGTGATGAAGGCCTTATCCAACAATATGTTGTCAAACAAATTACCAGATCGGTCTTTTCTATTATATGGCTGACTGAGTATAGTTTTTTTACGCCGCTTTTAGCAATATTCCAGCAATATCACGGCGGGGGACACCAGAAATGGGCTTCACACATTGTACCCATGTCGGGAATCGAACCCGGGTCTTCGGCGTGACGAGCGAATGCTTTAACCACTACCCGACCGCCCCCTTTTCTATTATAACCCCGGTCTACTGTTAGACTGCCCTCAGCTAGTCTTGTCTTGTCTATCACATGAGGTGAGGGAAGATTATAGTGTGAAACAGACACCCAAAGTGTTCAAATGTGAGGAACAATCTTTTGCTTCTTTACATCTGGATACACAGGAAAGAAGGGAAGGTTTCCTGTCTTGCGCATGTGCAGTTGCATTTTCTGCGAAGGATATGAGTTTCCTTGCAACTATGAGATATGTTGGAAGTGAAGAGGACGTCTGTTGAAATACTTTTTTTTAAATTATCGTGTGAGTATCAGCCTAAACAGGAATTTAAGGATATGGTGTAATAGAGGTAGGGTATTTGAATGAGTGAGTGAGTGAGTGAGTATAGTTTTACGCCCCTTTTTAAATAAAGCAATATTCCAGCAATATCACGGCAGGGGACACCAGAAATGGGCTTCACAATATTGTACACATGTCGGGAATCGAACCCAAGTCTTCGGCATGACGAGTGAACGCTTTAACCACTAGGCTAGGTATTTGAAGGTATTAGGTGACGACTATAGCTGTAATCCTTGTGAATCACTATTGTGCTATTGATATTCTGAATGTAATAAATAACACCTAGATGAAATAAGTCTAAACCTAGATAAAAGCCAACAGGAAAATAAAGTGAGATTTCAAACCTAGCTTAGATGATGAGAGGCAACGAGGAATCATTAAACACTCACATTGCTCCATCACAGAACTGAACTTTAAGGTTACTGCCTTCTATGCCAGTAATCAGACCAGGGAGGTAGGTCAGTGCTTCATGATCTCTTAGTGCCAGTATCCTCTCCCCAAGTGTTAGCTTGTGTCTTCGTGTGAAGGCCCCAAACATGTGCACTGGACTCTGCATACTGCTGGTTCCATCACACCACTCTACCCTGTATTTGGGCTTTGCAGGAACCTTTTCAATAACTGAGCCTAGAGTAGAGAAGTAAAAGTATAATTCACCTATGCTCTTCTGTTGCATGTTTAGTTATGAATATATTGAGTATGATGAATTACTATATACAGATTTTTATCCTAAAACATCAGTATCATCATGTCTGCAAAATACACATGAAATGCTTCTGTTAATGTGTATATCAAATTTATTGCATCGTACAAAATATTAAGGCTTACTGATTATTATGATCTACCGGGTAATGTGTTTTGTGAATTCCACATATATTTTACTGAATTAGCCTAAAGCTAAACTTTGATGTGCTCAATAAATATATTGTAACAACATTTGTACTTGTGAGAACCAATATTACCTATACGATAGACTCCTGTTGGATAATGGCGTGCCACCACTGCTTGTCCAACCCATTGATTTTCACACTTGTGTATCTCTCTCACGTCATGTCTGTACTTAACTTGTGAGATCTTGTATACTTCATCACGTTGCAATACAGCAATTTTGTTGTCATAAAAGTGAACGCGTACTTTCAGTTGAGGAAGAAGCTCAACGATGAAGGCAGGAGCATAGCTGAAACTGTACTTTGGATGTAGGCCAACCACAGTGTCATTAACCTGAAATAGGAGCAGAGAAATTGATTGATCAAAATAATGTGCCTTGACTCTTAGCTCACCTATGTAGTAAAATTATCAACAAAGACAGACCTCAAACTGCATTATATACAGACCCTGTTGTCTTTAACAATGATAAGTCAAATCACTGGTTGTGTCGAGCTCACTGTCCAGTCCTGGCAAACTATTACTATATTTATCCCTGGTTTCACCTGGATGTAGTCAATTAAACTTTACGAAATCCTGGTTGCTAACAACGCGTGTGGTCTGACGTGGATTAATGAATAATTTGCATACTCGTATATGCAAGGGGTGACGTATGGTTCTCAGTAGGAAATGACAACTTGGAGACGATGGCTTGCGGTATATACAGTTTTACTTTATACATGTAGATATATACATACATAGGACACTATGTGCCAGGTCAGCACATAGTGGTAGTGGTTGTTGTCTAGGTGCCCCGGAGCACCCAGCCTAACCCTAGCTAGGCTAAGGGTAAGACCTTTCTTCTTTTCCTTTCTTTTCAATATATATAAATAATCTCTCTGGACCAAGGCTTAAATAGCCGAGGTCACCTGACATTTAGTAAGTAATAAATATAAATGTAAACAGTAATTCATCAGTGACAAACTTGCACATCTCGTTCAGGATGGCAGACGGTTGATGTACACAAAAATGGGGATTAACAATTAGGATTAGCGTCTTATAAATAACAGCAATTAAGTGTTTCAAGGCATATAGATGTCATGGCTCCAGGGTAATGAGCCTTTGCAATTAAATGTTCTACAGACAATGGGTGTCGTAAATCAGTCGCTATGACAACTTCCCTCTGTTACGTGAAGCTTGGACCCCAAGCTTACATGAGTCCAAATTGAATTGTGTGAACTTTTTCTCCAACGAAAACAACCATGCAAATGTGAACAAAATCAGTTACCGTACATGAAATCCTCATGCAACAAATATATCAATGCAATAACGGTATGAAAGTGATCATCTAGCCAATTTGATTAGTGCCAGATTGAAAACTAACCAAGTGATCTTTGTAATGTGCAATTTCACTACAAGGTTATTACCGCTTTGCACAGATTCAATAAATATATCATGGAGGTTCTTTGAATTCAGGAGTCTGGCTTGGCGGTGCGACTCAGTACCGAATAATGATAATGAGTAATGTCATAAAAAGAACGAATTAAACATCTCAGCAAATAGTTCGCATAAAGAAATTTGAAACCAGGAGTCTAACTTTATCGTGCGACTCAAACGGTACTTGTGGGTTCTATTGCCCTTTTAAGTACAATGGGTGCTCTTCCCATGTCTTTGACGGAGCTTGCCCAGATATTGTGGGTGCGATGCCCAAGAAAATAAAATCCTTAATTCCGACATCAAAACTCTGAAATGCTGAATACTGCTGTGCTGTTAATTACTTAATACTGACATACAATAAACATATGTGTGGGGGTGGCTCACCCTAGAATATCCCTAATCTGAATTCAAAGTCCTAGACAATACATTCAATTTTGTACCAAACTGTGCACATTAATAACTTGTAACAAATGACAAATTTTGTCGTTTAGATTTTTGAAATTACGACTCAAACTTTAAGGTGTGACTCGATAACCCTACAGCTTAGGTTTGTCTGGGCCCTAGCTGCAACTATATGTCTGGCGTGGCCTGGAGACATTTCAAACATTCCCTACAAAATAACTTCAAAGATCTAGCATGTCTAAAGATGTAAAATTGGAGTATATTGCACATATACAAAACTGAATTTTGGAAAGACACATTTGGCATTAACATACTGGCTTTGATTAAATATACCTGGTTGCACTATTCAACAGTCACACAATGTATATCCTTGATTGAGTCCATGTAAGTAAACACAAATTAGTAAGTCCCCATGAGATATCTTGTACACAGTGTCCTTCTTGTAGTTGCCCCTGAGGCGGTTTCTTTATTGTGCAGGGTCTGCATGAAGATGGCTGTGGTCGGGTCTCTGTGGGATAGGCGTGTATACTTCTTTTCTTAGATCATGTGCAGGAACAACATCTTGAAGGGGAAGTCTTAGCAGTGTTGCGAAGATATTCGAGCAGGGAAGGTTTGGGATCGGAAAACTTGTTCTTGATCGGAGAGGTTCTTGTTCTTTCTTCAATCTTGTTAAAGGCCATTTCTTCGTTCTTGGTGATTGTCCTTCAGGAAGGTAGTATATCCTTTTAATAAGAGACTGTCACTTCCTACAGTATTGTGAACCATATGCCATGCTGCAAAGAGGTACAGGAAAGGACAGACTAAGAAGTCTGTCATACCCGATAGTTCCACCAAAATAACAACGCGTGTGGTCTGACGTTGATTAATGAATAATTTGCATACTTGTATATATGCAAGGGGCTGACGTATGGTTCTCAGTAGGAAGTGAAAACTTGGAGACGATGGCTTGCGGTATATACAGTTTTACTTTATATATGTAGATATATACATACAAAAGACACTATGTGCCAGGTCAGCACATAGTGGTAGTGGTTGTTGTCTAGGTGCCCCGGAGCACCCAGCCTAACCCTAGCTAGGCTAAGGGTAAGACCTTTCTTCTTTCCTTATTTTCAATCTCTCTGGACCAAGGCTTATATAGCCGAGGTCACCTGACATTTAGTAAGTATTAAATATAAATGTAAACAGTAATTCATCAGTGACATACTTGCACATCTTGTTCAGGATGGCAGACGGTCGATGTACACAAAAATGGGGATTAACAATTAGGATAAGAGTCTTATAAATAACAGCAATTAAGTGTTTCAAGGCATATAGATGTCATGGCTCCAGGGTAATGAGCCTTTGCAATTAAATGTTCTTCAGACAATGGGTGTCGTAAATCAGTCGCTATGACATTGCCTCGATCTTAACTTACTGTATCAGAGTTAGAAATATCTGTTAAAACTAACCCTGATCAGTTGAACTCAAAATGATGATGAAATACACATAGATGCATAAATGTAGATGTGACAAGTGCTTCTATATTAGCTAACCGGGTCAAAAGGACCAAGGTGAGCTTATGCCATACCGTGGTATCAGTCGTCCGTCCGTCAATTATTTATTCAAACGACTACTTCTTCTGAACCACTAATTGGAAATTAAAAAAAATTGACTGGAAGCATCCCTAGGTGGTGGGGATTCAAAATTGTACAAATTGTGGATCTGACCCAAATAGGGCCAAATAGGGGTAATTTAGCTATATTGCTTTAAACGACTTTTTCTCTGGAACTAAGAGATAGATATCCCTGAATCAACCCTAGGTGTTGAGGATTCAAAATTGTACAAATGGAGGGGCTGACCCCCCAAGGTGCTGAGGGACGTGGCCAAATAGGGGGTAATTTGGCTATATTGCTTTAAACAACTTCCTCTCTGGAACTATCCCAATTATGTTTCTAGGTTTGTCAGCACCATACCCGTGCTCGTGGGTTTCACCGAAGGGGTAAACGTCTGAGACCTGCATCACTTCGGGCTTTCCTCCCACATTAAGCTGACACGCCGTGATATAACTGGAATACTGTTAAAAGCGGCATTAAACCAAACTCACTCACTCACTCACTCACTCCTCTCTGGAACTAAGAGATAGTTATAAACCATATTTGGTTGGAAGCATTCTCCAATGGTGGCGATTCAAATTGGAGAAATGGAGGGGCTGAACCCTACCCCCTGGGGACTGAGGGGTGGGGCTAAAAAGGTAATTTGGCAACATTGCTTTAAATGACTTTTTCTCTGGAACTAAGAGATGGACATCAACCATATTTGGTTGGAAGTATTCTCAGGTGGTGCGAATTCACAATTGTACTAATGGAGGGGCTGATTTTCCCCCAGGGGCTGAGGGACAGGGCCAAAAAGAGTTTATAACTTGGACACAGATAAGATCCCCACCGTATAACCATATGTACAATTGAGAGTATAATGAGAGGAGTGCACATATGCTAACAGGACTGGCCCTTCTGTTCATCTGTCCGGTACTCCCAAAGGAGTTAGAACCTTGACCATAACATGCAAACCAATATTATCCCAAACCTATAATAAACAGATACATTGTATACATTTGTTTGTTATGAAGAGAATAATATCTTTAATATGTTTTATTCTGGATCATAACATGGAAACAGTTCAGATCTTTATGCTACATTTGTATTTAGAGAAATACACGTTCATGCTGTCAGATTTGCCATCCACCCCTTTTAAATGCTGACAGAGTCAAAATTACGTTAATATTTGCAGTATTATATACATGTACAATGCAAATATATATTTTGTCATGATTGTGTAAATATGCAGGTGAGCGATGCAGGCCCTATGGGCCTCTTGTTTCTTATTGTATAAATGTTATATACATAACATGCACAATGTGGTACATTTGCTTTCTCTTATAAGGTCAAGTTGGATGTGTAGATCCACGGATGAGTCTAGCTATATCTCTGGTGCCCAGGAGTTCAAGAGAATGGGGCTTGACTGTATACCCTGTCATAACATTTTGACAGATTTTGCCACTTGAAACTGTCAGTGTGTGATTTTGCATCAAAATGTAAATATGAAATGTAGATTATGTAATGAATTTAAGGAGACTGCCCAACACATTTTCAGTGGATGCCCAGCTTTGGCACAAACACAGTATCTTGAGCGGCATGATGGAGTGGCTTGATCATTTTATTACCGTCTTCGCCATGCTTGTAGTTTTGACACAGAGGTCCATCCATGGTACGACCCAGAATATGAAGAGGGCATCATGGAAAATGATAAATACAAACTTCTTTATTTCTATATTTACCAATCTTTATGGGAGAATTAATTATGGTTTGATTAGCGTTTGGGCTCTTCTTGATAAAATTGTTTTGTGCACTTTTGAACACATTTATTTGTCTGATGATCCTCTTGTGAAGCATGTCAAGACTCACGATGAAAACAAGGCATTCCACAGTTTTCGTAAAGGAGCCAAGGATGTGGGACATAATCTCAATGTCAGTGTTGATTTTGTTGATGGTTCTGTACTGCTGGACGGTATAGAAATGATTGTCAACCATATCAAATCGGCCCAGACTCAGTTTTTCAAGGAAAGGCTATCTGAACGACCACTGCATCAAGTTTATATGCAGTGTGTTGAGAAGGTCAGAGTCCTTCGCTTAGATGAGGTTGGCTGGCCTGAAAAGTGAAACAGAAGGCTTTCTGTTCGCTGCTCAGGACTAGTCAGTTCTCTGAAGAAGAACTTTATCATTTGATTTGTGAGCATCATGACTGGAGCTCTGAAACAACCTCTTGTGAAAAAGGATTGGAACAAATCCTCTTTGCTAGTTATTCGAAGTAGGCTATGTTCCTTATCTGGGTAAAGTGACCTTATGGCAAAAGTAAACATTGATCAAAATCTATAAGGGCTGATCAATTGGAATTTAATGAGCCCATTTGCAATCATTACTAAAGCTGAATTCAGAGGTGGAGTTGATACACTTAATTCAGTAATGGATGAGAGTTCTGATTATATGAGGTGGAAAGTAAGCCTGATGACCAGGAAAAAATGGAGTTGAGTTGATTCCAGATATTACAAGCCACTTTTGTCCATTTTTATCAACAGAGAATAGCTAGTCACTTTGATGCCTGCAGAAATAAACTGCCTGGTTGTGTATTTGGTTCAAATGCTTCCTTTAGCATAACAAGTATTGTACTTAATACATGCAAACTGTTATACATCCTTCATTGTTAGGCTCTGAACCTTTCAGCCACCCTTTGTAGAACTCTCACGTGACACTATGGTAAAGCACCAAGATTATACTAAACTGGTAACAAACTAATTTGCAGAAAACTGATTACAACTTACTTTTATGATGTGGTTTGCATCATCTGACTCTGTAATGATGTCTTCTCTCCAAATTCTCTCTGCTTCTCCAGTACTGTCAACCACCATGTAGCTGAAGTCCTGGCAGTTCAACACAGTCCTCCCTGCATTCAGAATCAACTGTTGTACTAGCTTCATCAACACTAAATAATATGTAGTAGTTTAGATGATGGGGCATGTCTTCTTTGCATAAATCTATGTCATAAATAACCTCCATTTTGGAATAACCTGATAATATGTGTGAGTACACTATAGCCTGGTCATATCATATAACCTGATAATGAACTATAACCTACCTAAAACTAATAAAATTCTGAATCTTCTTAAAAGTCATAACAGTGGTAGAAACTAATAGTTTTAGCCCACAAGTCCTTATAATGATAACATATAGCAAAACCCTTAAAAAAGGGTATATTTCTACTAGTCCTTGTGATACCTTAACTATTGGGCAGTGTGGCAAGGACTACAGGACTAGTTTATTACGAACCGTTAAATATTTACTTGACAGACCAACCCTGTTTAAAATCTATCTCGTTTTCATAAGGCCTATTTAACATTGTATGAACGTCGGAGCTTGCCCTCACTCTATGAAGGTTCATACTCCAATGAACTCACACAAAGTGAAGGTCAATTCTTATAATTTTTGTATCACAATTTCTTACCTCAAAGGATGTAGGCCAAGATCTAAATACAATCTTATTTAGTATGTGTGACTTCATGTTTACTCTGACAGACAAACAACAACCAGCTATATCACGGAGTAAAATAGTTCCTCAAAAAGAGATGTGACATGGGCGTATGGATGCACAACTTGATTGGATGGTATAGATGTGTGGCTGTGTTCAAATCATATCCTCATTAGATGAGAAAGGTCTGTAAAGAACTACCTCAGTAAGTCAGTCACAATGACAGCGAGTCGTAATACATTTACATCAAGTACAAGACGTCAAAATGGCCAACATGATTAACATGACGGGAGAGATTTCCGAAATTGTTAATGAACCTGTGGCGGTTACATGTGTTAGTCATCATTGATCAACTGGCCAATCATTGAAAGGTGAATAAAGATGCATCAAACAGACACTGAGGTAAATTGGCCTACCTTTAGAATACAGTACCACAAACTTTTCAAACACGTGACAATACCCTATGACGAAACAGACACTAAGGTAAATTCTTAGATTGCTGGAGATGGTCAACATCAGCCTAGGCACGAATTGAGTCAATACTACGATAGTTTAGATGAGCATTTCATCGTTTGTTCATTAGGATAGGCCACAGCGGGGATATTCGTGAACAATCATGCAGTCACGCTCTCTGACAATTCTCAATGTATACTGAAATGCTGAGACCAAGAACAAAGGTTCTAAATGATCAGAAAGAACGCTTATGTATGTTTTCGTGCTAGGTATTCCCAGGGGTTTCCCCAGGAATGTGGAATAGTCCGTCAGTGTTTACGTCCTCTTGTCCTCTTGTCCAATGTAGAAGCTGTATATCGTGTAAACTTCAAATTAAAAAATGATATTAGAATATGCTTCAGAGGTATGGGATAACTGCAGTTAAGAAAATTCCGAAAAAATTAAAATGATACAACTCAAAGCCGCTCGTATAGTAACAGGTCTCCCTAAATTCTCAAGATCGAGAGACAGGATGGGAATCACTATCTGATAGAAGAAAAAATAGAAAAATTGTATTGTTAATAATCTATGTCCATCGTATTTACATGACACGTTACCACCAAAAGTATCAGCTATTAGTAAATATGAGTTACGAAATAAGAACAATATGAATATGCCGCATAAGCGAACCACTACATACCAACATTCATTTATACCTTCTTCAATCAAACTATGGAATGAGTTACCCCCGGAATACAGAAGTGTAACATCATTGTAAAATTTTAAACAGATGATTAAAACAACCATTGCAGCTCCACCTCCATACATCTTAACCGGCAACCAAAGAGCTTGTTACATACAGGTCTAAGGCATTCTTGCAGTTCCCTAATGCAGATCTCTTCAAAGTTCATTTATCTGATACTTTGTCCTGCTCTTGTGGAAACCCATGTGAAAACAACATACACTTCTTTCTTAAATGTCCTAATTACACTATTCTCAGAAATATCATGTTCTCGAACATTTTAAAAGCTGGAGCTATGTGTACAATACAAAATATTCTCTACGGTGATGAATCTCTGGCTGAAAGTGTCGATCTCATCTTCAACAGCGTTAAAAAATATATAATGTCGACTAATAGATTCGAGTCACTCTTTGTCATAAGTATAGAATATTTTATTAATTAATAATTACGACATTAGTATATAAACAGCATGCATGTATATGAATACATGGGTATGTCTGCCTCTGTCTGTAAGCATAATATATACGGGTATGTTTATGTCTGTATATGTTAGTGTGTGTGTGTGTGTGTAAATATGTGTTATATGTAAGTGTGAAGATATTGGAGAAGATATTGAGCAAATACAAAATTATCAACAGCCAAAGACAACACAAAAATCCTAGAAAGATTTTGACAAGTTCTAAATTTGATTCTGTTGTCATCACTCCACAGGTTTCTAAGTGCGGTGACAAATGTTGCCTTACTTGCAGCAGTATAATTGAAGGCTGTTCAGTCCAAATTACAAAGGACACTAAATTTACTGTAAAACAAAATATGACTCGTGATACTAGAAATGTTATTTACTTAATTGTTCGTAGTGGATGCAATGAAAAGTATATCGGAAAGACAGAACTTAAATTAAAAAGAATGAATCTTCACCGTTCACAAATAAAGCAGCCACACAACCGCATGATTCCACTCAGTGAACATTCAGATACATGTAGAAGCGGCAACTTTTTAGTTTTCCCTCAATATAAGCTAAATTTTGATCATGAACCTACATTGTTTCAAAAAGAGCAACATTTCATTCATAAATACCCGCCTAAGTTAAATGTAAAGGCGTAAGTTATTTGTCCATTGTCACCTTGGTATTGTGACGTCATAGTTTCCTAAATGTTATGACGTCACGTAACTATATGTTACTACTTCATGTCCGTTATTCAGTTATGGCCTGATGAGACTCGTACGTGGTACGAGTTGAAAGCGCTAGCCTATTAAAACTGTGTTCAATCTTACTCCACTTATTTAATTATTACTATATATATATATATATATATATATATATATACATATATACACATGTGTGTGTATGTATATATATGTGTGTATGTATGTGTATATATATGTATAATCAATGTCTGTACAAATACCATAGGGAAAGGGCCACCTAAGTTGGATAACTTTTGCCCAATCCCGTTGATCGTATATGTCAAAAATAGTCATAGCTACTGATTTACGACATCCATTGTCTGAAGAACATTTGATTGCAAAGGCTCATTACCCTGGAGCCATGACATCTATATGCTTGGTAACCTCCCAAAACCCCTACATCCCATTTCCCCTACAGCTTAAGACAACAAAGTTCACGGTCCGTGGCACTGCTAATCCCTAGTCTATTACCTATTTCATACAATGGAACAACCCAAGAAACACGAACAGATTGAGATAAATATTAAATTACAATTACGATATTATTCAAATTTCATAATACATTATAATAAAATGTTCATTTTTCAAAATTCATAATACATTATAATAAAATGTTCATTTTTCAAAATTCATAATACATTATAATAAAATGTTCATTTTCAAAATTCATAATACATGTACATTATAACAAAATGTTCATTTTTCAAAATTCATAATACATTATAATAAATTTCATCTCAAATGTTCAATTCACTCTTTATTCGAGCCTGAGGAAATGGCCAACCGTATCTAGAAACTGCATTGGGGATTTCACCTCTCTATTCAACTCGTCTATTCAAGACGGTTCTCCACCTCTCTGTACACTCTCTTCCTGCCTCTTGGAGCTGCTCCAAAGTCGAGCTGTAAAACCTTAGCTTGTTCTGCCTGTTCCACCTTCGGTGAGGGAGACCTCGGTTGAGTCGGTTATGAAAGCCTTCCAGGTTGTTGTTCGTCCTGGGACCTGTTGCACCGTGATGGTTCCACAGTGGTAGGGGGAATTGTGCTCCGTGGTCGACCCAGGTAGTGACGATGTAGTCGTTGAAGGCGACAGCTCTCGGTACATCTGGTGTGGTGTCCGTTGCGTCAACCCACGTGTCCTCTGTAGCATTCCTTATCACGGTTCCTACTGTCGTGAGTCTTCCTCTACATGTGGACTTGACACACTACCAGTGTACGCAAGTCAGTCTCTCGACGTTCTTAGTGTGAAGATAACCATCAAAAAGGACTTGGGGCTTTCCTCTCTGTGACATAACAAACTCAACATAGCGAAGCCCAGACATGTTGATGTCATGTTAGTCAGATTCAAGTATCTATATACTAAACCTAGCCATCTCAACTGTAAATCGTCCATCTCAGTGTAATAATTGTTTCTTCCTATTGTTATTTTTGTAATTTTAAAAAATTGTTTTCTCATCATATAGGCATCTTTCATTACACTTACATTATTTAAAAAAGAAAGAAATTCCCCTAGTCCCCTAAAGCTCTACCCCTTTCATTTCTACTACCTCTACTCCAGACCTTAATCTCTCCTTTAGGTGAGTTCATAATACCAGACAGGTAAATGCCGCGTGTTGTTTTAACTAATTGTAGGGGAACTGGGTTGTAGGGGAAATGGGATGTAGGGGTTTTGGGAGATAACCATATGCTTGGAAACACTGTATTGCTGTTATTTATAAGATGCTAATCCTAATTGTTAATCCCCATTTTTGTGTACATCGACCGTCTGCCATCCTGCTGATGAATTACTGTTTACATTTATATTTATTACTTACTAAATGTCAGTCTCCAAGTTGTCACTTCCTACCGAGAACCATATGTCAGCCCCTTGCATATACGAGTGTGCAAATTATTCATTAATTAACGTCAGACCGACACGCGTTGTTACTTCTACAGCTTTTTCAATTTTTTCTTTTGTTGGTCTGTAATTGCTCATTGTTATATACATATGTAAACATTTATCAAAATGCACATTTTTCATTGTATTGTAACCTACGTTTATAACGAACACCCTAACACG